CACCCCCCCTGGAGCTGGTGCGATCAAGCCGAATAATGTTGTGGTCAGGCAACCAGAAGCTGTCGCCGGACTTTAGATGGGTCTCGGTTAGAAGGCCCACGTCGATGCTGTGCTTGCGGAGAAAGTCGGCAAGCTCAATCTTTTTTGCTCTTACAGAGCAAGCATTCCAGGTGACTATAGTTAGCGGTTTAGACGCCATACTGGATGATGAACTTACCGAGCACTTGGATCTGTTCGGGCTTATTGCGGCACTTACGAAGAGCACCGGACATGTTGACGAAAATTTCCATCAGTTCATCCGCTGAGAACAGATCGGGGTTGTTGTTTTGCGCTGTTGGTTGTCTCCAGAATCCAGGGGGGGATGGAGAGCTTTGACCAGCAGAATCACCGGAAACTTCTTGAGGGGGGGCGGGTTGCACCCGCGAATTCGCTTGCCTTTGCTGGGGAGCACGAAGAGGCGGAAAATCCTCCGTCCTGAATGATGGGGTTTTGTCCTTCTTGCGTCCTGGTTGATTGTTGCTTGACGCCAGCTTTCGGATGCGTTTGAAGTCCTCGCGTTTGGAGCACTGTCTGTCAGAGCCTTGATGTGCACAACCACAGTTAGCGCATTTTATCGCCACGGCTCCATCCGCAGGACAGTTGGAAGTGGCGTGTTCTTGAGCGCAGTTGCTGCAGCGTGGCTTGATGTTGCAGTTGCGGGTACCGTGTCCAAAATTGAGGCACCTCTGACACTGCGTTACGTCACGATGACCGCCACGGTATGGCTCCCACCGTACGATGATGGAGTAGATCGATCGGATGGCTTGTAGCGCATTGAGCGTCACCGTCCCTTTCTGGAAGTGCACCAGGAAAAGACAATCCGGGTACGTCTTCACGTTTTCATCTCTCCTTGTCATTCGGAAGACAGCGATTGGGGCTAGCTTGTACCGGTTGATTTCGGCTTCGACCATCTTGGGGTCGAAGTTTGGTAGACCCCTGATGACTACCTTGAAGGGCTTCTCACCGGGGATGTCGTGCGTGAAGAATTCCGCCTTGGTATCCTTCAGATATTTCACGGCCACTTCGTACTCCGCTTTGGTTCGGAGCATCACCTTGGTGCCGATCCTGCTGAGCTTAAACTCAGCTGCAACGCCCAGCGATGAAAGATCGCCAATCAGCGTGTTGAGTGGGACTTGCTTCACCACCAGTGGAGGAAGCTTCATTTTTGCTGCACTCGGGCTGGCAGCAGTTTCGTTGTCGACGGCGTCGCCGAAATCACCAATGACGCTGACGTTCGTCGCGGTGGCATCGTCCCGTCCACTCGCACCATCGGACTGACCTTGATTTTTCTTCCTCTTCTTAGACCGCTTCACCTGAGGTGGGATTCCCTACATCGGTGGGAAGAGTAGCGTACCTTTTCGAAATAGGTACACTCAAGCTACCCTCACCGCTGTTTTTCTTCTCCGTTTTCTCTCGGAGCCTGCTCCGGGAGCGCTGTCTTCCCATCACACGAAGCGACCGACACTACTGACGACGCGATTAAACTGCGAATGTTTGGAACAAACTAGAAACTTTAGAACAACTCGACAGAGCGAGCAAAGACCGAACTGTACTGCTTGACGTTCAAGCAGAGAATGAATGATGAAAGAATTTCCTCCATAATTAAATCAAATATATAGGAAGAGAATGGACAACCCTGTTTCACTCCTCTAGACCTCATTTGAGGCACAATTTTTTGCCCATTCCACAGCACCTGTTGCTCCTCTGCATTGATGCAATTAATCACTCTATTTGCAATACCTTCAGAGGCACCTTTTGTCAGCAATACGCCTGGCAGAGCAGAAAGGCTAATGTTATCGAAAGCCTTCTCAATATCCAAAGCCATCACTATCAGCATTCCACTTTTCCTCTAGAATACGCCGAGCTGTAAATATATGATCCATTGTTGATCGCTCGTTAAGGAAACCTGGTGTGATCCTATAGGTGATGTGCGATCTTTCGAAAATCTTGCGCTTGCTTCGCCTTTTTGCTTTTAGGGATCGAGATTGTAGTGGCAAGGTCAACTTGGTTAAATGGATAATCCCGCTTGTAGGGCTCTCAAAGCCGAACTGAACCTGAGTGTCGCATGAGTGGAGCAGGACATGAGCTATGTATCGAATAGAGAAAATATATTGTCTTGTTACTTTGACTGTAAGCCCATGAAGACGTGTTTATTACTCACTGAAGTAAATGTCTTAAAACCAATATCAGATTTATAACAGGGATCACTGTAGTTCGTCTCCAACTGTCTGGGATGCTATTTTCTACCCACACTCTTCAGTAGTTCGCTTTGAATACCGTCCGCACCAGCTGTTTTTCCATTCTCACACTCTGTGATGATTGTATCTGTACAAGACGTATCCGGGGGATCCTCTGTGACTATTTCGTGATTTGAATTTCCAATCAAATCGGGGAGTAGGTTGATCGATGGTGATTCCAAGAAATGCTGAAGAGAGATGTCGGATCTCCTCAGCTGTGGCCTCTTTCTTCTGATTTGTTTAACATATTTGAATGTTCTTCTAATTCTCTCCCCTGGCTTATACTGCTTCAAGTTTTAAAAAAAATCAAATTCCTCCTTACGCTCTTTTTCATCGCAAAGACTTCTGCAGTTGCACTGTGCTTCAAAGAAGTTCCGTAGTTTACGCTCGCTTAAGGGTTGCCTCTTTTCCAAAAGATACTCTTTTTTCAATTTGGCCATCGCTAGCCTTCGCTTCGGAGAGTTTGGAATTTTTGACAAGGTGTGAATTGATAATCTCGCTGCTGTATTCAATTTTCCCACGAATTGCTCCCACGCTTCCAAGGTTGAAAGTGACGGGTCTTCAACGTTAATGGACACCTTGGTCAGTTGCTCTTGGTATTTTTTCCTCAGATTATCATCTTGCAGTAGTTTTACGTCCCAAACGCCTAAGTATTCGTAGAATCCTCTCATTGCTTCGTAAACACTTAGTTAGCTTTTGATACAGGATTTCCTCTAATTTGAATTTGAAAAGTTATCAATTTGTGATCGCTCTGAAATTCCTGTACTAAATGTCCTCTCAATTTCTTTACGAAACTCGTTGAGGAGGTAGTATTCAGAACGTGATGAATTTGCGATGATTTTCCATTACAAATCCATGTTTGAATGGGTTCCCTGAATCCGATTCAGATGCTAAAACCCTTGTGTGAAAAGTTTTTCAGCAGAAACGCCAAAAAAATGTGTCTTAAATGCACAGTTGCGCCTAAATGTAGGCAATTCCACTGGTAATTTTGTGAAAAATCCTGTATTTTTTGATAAAGAATGAGAGAGATTTATTAATAATAAGATAATTTAGTCAATTTTTTAATCTATTCTGGGAATGTCCGCCTCTTGGTGGAGGTCTGTTATTCTCATGACGAAAGGACGATCGAGGATGATCCTGAGCCACCTGGATCTTGTTCCAGAGAGTTTGTCCACATGATTCTCACACCGGAGCTGCGTAGAGGATCGGAGGTGCAATGATTTGTTTGTATACAGCCAGTTTGTTCACCCTTGAGAGGCGGGATCGGCGGTAAATCTAATGTGGGAAAACGTACATTTTTGTATTTACATTCCTAGGGACCACAATTTTGCTTGAACCATGCTACTAACCATGTGAAAGTATAGTTCAGGAAGTGCCTAATAACTTTGCCGAAAGATGTACGGTGCTAGAATGTCTCTAAAAAAAGTTATAGCTGTTCAAAGATCGATGTTTCTAGTTAATTATGTTCACCTCCATCGATACATTTGCCGAAAGTCCTTCAAGGTTCAGGATATTCTGAATGTGAGTTAAAACGACTCCCAAATCCATCTGAATCCGTTTCCAGAAGATTTCCTGAAATACATGCCAAATAAGACAAAAATACTCTATCATCACACAGATTAATTTATTACTACATACCACACGAAGATTGTCATCTGCAAGACCCATTTTCAAACGGCAATTCACACAAAATTAAAATACAGTACGAACACGATTTCAAATGGTGATGCGAAGATTGAAACTTGGATTAAACTTGGTCAGTTTTTAAAAATAGCTTGCTGTGATAGTAACGAATATATCGTGATCTATTTTAGTTTATTAACAAGCCAAATGATAAGACCACGATGATTTCCAGGCCCTAGGATTCATCTGTTCGATCTGTTTTATGCGTCATGATTGATTGCATACCTCGATACAAACAAAACGAGCGATTGAGATCAATCTCAATCATTACATTTTGGATTTTAGCAGCTCTGGTTCAGTGTAGAATCCACAATCCTTAAGGACATCAAGGAAGATAGAATCCACAAATGGTCGTTGTCATTACTTCTTTTGCCTTGTAAAACCAGCCATGGTAGCGGCCATTTGTGGAGTCTACCAATCGTGAATTTGTTATGCAGCAAAAGCAAAACAGTGGTACACTTCCAAGCAAGATTTTTTCTTTTCGTTATCCTGAATGGATTTTCTTATTAGAATCGAGATTATTTTGCCATTTGGTAATAAATCACACAACCATAAGCTTCATTTGAACTTATCAATCGGCAATTTGATGAAGAATTATTAGGTTTCTATAATCCATCAGATATCTAAGCAAACGCTTATAGTGCTACTAATTTTACAATAGGTAAACTAAATCGTTAGTAAAAAGCCCTTCCTAACCTACTCAGCAAAGAGCATTCATGGCGCCCAGAAACAGCATAATGCGAGGCTTGCCACGCTGCTTTTCAACGAAGCTCCTCGTCGCCACTGTACATGTCAATCGCAGAACAATGGAATTCTTCGGCTTGAGAAGCGTTATATTTTTTGCGAATCACACATTCCAATCATATACATTTTTCAGCAAATATAGCCATTTTTACTATCAACAAGAATGCAACTTCTCAGAATTTCTCCAAAATTACCGTACCTCAAACTGCATCCAAACCAATACAATTTCCCTAACACAGACCTCAGTTACTGGCTCCAATTGGCTTCGTTCTAATTTGCTAGTTTGATAATCGACATAGCAGCAGCGTTTGCAGTGTCGTCGTTGTAAACAAACACCACCCTTATACAGATTGACCGTTGCGCCTGCGTGTGTGAGTGCAACTTCAACATCCAACATGGCCGATGTGGAAGAAAAACAAACCGAAGCGGTAAATGAAGAGCAACCGGAGAAAAAGCCAAGAAAATCCCGTAAAAAAAGCGCCAAGGATGAAGGCGGAGAGAAACCGAAAAAGCCGCGACCACGTAACACGGACAATCCTCCGGTCCACGACATGATCATCGAAGCGCTGGACGTCCTGGACGAGCGTAAGGGCGTCACGCTTTACGCCATCAAGCGCTATCTGGAGGACAACTACCACGTCGACATGACCAAAGTGGCAGTCCACGTCCGGAAGGTGCTGAAGAATGGTGTCGACAATGGGGACATCATCCGAACTCGGGGCGTCGGTGCCATGGGACGGTTCAAAGTCAAGCACACCAAACCGACGATGCTCAAGAAACGCTGTGCACCGGAGGACTACCAGCAGCTTCCCTACATAAACAAACATCGCGTCGCGAAGCCAAGGAAGGTAACGACGCCAGCCAAGCCGAAGGTAACGGCATTGGCCAAAAAAGAGGATGTGCCGAAAGCCAAGACCACCCCAAAAGGGAAAAGAGGCCGCCCCGGAAGGAAGACGAAGTAAGCGCTCTATCGCACATTTTAGGCCATCTTCTTTCGAGGATTGTGTTGATGGCAGCCATCATGGTTTTTCTAAAACAACAAAAAACTACGACGCATTCAAATTACATTCGAGTAGCGTTCCAAATCAGTCCTTTTCAGGACTACAACACAGTGGCAAAAGAGTTGAATTGAAAATGATTTTCTTATACGCTGAGTCAGTCAGGATTGGTGCACTAGCCAGTGCTCTGTTTACATTTTCAGATTGGAATTTTTAATGCACCGATGGCTACTGCATGAATGTCTCTTTCTCACCACTGCTGGTTGGTAGTAATTAAAACGAGAGAGAGAGAGATCCGTCCTACAATCATCGGTTATTTGGCAGTTTCCGTAACTGACCACAGGTGGCAGAACTGTTACAGGAGCTTTTTTTTTGGTTTGAAAGCCAATCAAGCTTTTGTCAAACGGCTCGGTGTAAAGCCATGGCAGTTGAAATCGTTCGCGCTACGAAGTATGTGTGCAGCAGCATGTATGCTATGTTCAAAACAGACGACAAGCGAAGTCAAATTTTACTTGAAAAAACTCAATCGAATCTGGATTGCAAGAAGCGAAGTCAAATTTTATTAGGAAAAAAAATCAATCGAATGTGGATTACGAAGTCAAATTTTACTTGGAAAATCTCATTCGAATTTGGCTCACGACAAGCGAAGTCATCTTTTACTTGGAAAAGCGCAATCGAATTTGGATTACGAATCTTGTAAAAATAGCTAGAAATAGCAATTTTACTTCTTTAATTTTGCGCAGAAGAGTTGTTTTCGATTAAGCGTTGCGTTATTTTGTTAAAAAAATGGAAAATTTCAGCTTTTTAATGAAGGTATTCTGAACTTCAACATGACTTCCTTGAACTTTGATTTCCAAGATTTGAAATGGCAGGACTTCCTTGAATTTCGGCAGGTCTTCCCTGAACTACGGCAGGACATCCCCGAAACTTCGGCAGGACTTCCCTGAACTACGGCAGGATTTCCCTGAACTTCGGCAGGCTTTCTCTGAACTTCAGAAGGACTTTCCTGAACTTCGGCAGGACTTCCCTTAACTTTGGCTGGACTTACCATCCCAAATAAAATTGTTATGGTTATTTTCCTTAACGACGTGTTCTGGGTATAATCCAAACCATTTGTGGAATAGTTCAATCATTTGTGTTATCATTCGTGTATGGTATTTTTTATATTAGGGATCGCATCGAAGTTTGGAAAAACTTCCCTGAAGTTCGGAAAAACTTCCCTGAACATCAACAGGGCTTCCCTGAACTTTAGCAATACTTCCCTGAACTTCGGCAGGACTTCCCTGAACTTCAACAGGGCTTCCCTGAACTTTAGCAATACTTCTCTGAACTTCGGCAGAACTTCCCTGAACTTCAGCAGGCCTTCTCTGAACTTGAAATCTTGTTATTGAAGTTGTCATTCCAGTAGTAGAAGTATTATAATATACAATAATATTGTATTTACGAATATGGTCGAAAATTCAATACTTCCCATTTTGATAATTCGCAATGCTTGTTTGTTCTTGGTGCATTTTAAATTTGGGTGTGGAGTCAGTATCAACAGAAAAGCATTAACTTTCACCTTAAGTACTCAAATGTTCATAAATCCTTTTCGAGGTAGTCGTATCGTCGCGAATGGATGTTGTAGTCGACTATGAATATTTCTAGAAAGAGCTGGAATTAGAGCGTAACAGCTTTTTTAAACAATGATTTCTTTCGATGATTTCTAGAAAGTTAAGGCTCGCCAACGTTAAACAGAACTTTTTGTCAGTGTGAACCTCAACCTGAGGTAGGTTTTAAAAACAAACGATCAAACTGACGTTTTTCAGAAAACAAGCAGAGCCGATCTTAATACCCGATCCAGGTTGGAACTGAATAATAAACAAATTCGTTATTAGCTTTATAGAAATCTTCGAAAGAAGTAATTGATTATAAAAGCTGTTACGCCCTAATTCCAGTTCTATCTAGATTTACAACTTTCTTTAAAAACGTCGAGCAGTTCAAGTCTGAGGTATACCCACAATCATATCTTGGAATTCCGGTCTCAAGTACTGGAAGGGAAAAATACCTGGATATGCACGGCGGATGAGAACGACCCAAATTTGAGTTTAGTTCACTCATAATCGCCAAAAGTGCAGGAACTCAGCGATGAGTAAAATTTGTCTCATGTTTTCCCAGGTTTTTCCAGGATTTTCCAGGGAAAAATTCCCGAATTTGAGAAAAGTTCGCCGTGTGCCTTTTCAATGCTTCTCTTTTTCTTGGTGAAGCATCGAAATGATTGGATTCTATTTCATTTTTTGTCCACGCTGAGACTTTCATTTATCGTTGCAGTGTATAGATTTCGGTTCGTTTTATCTTGGTATTTACTACATTCCTCTTCATTTTTCAGTAGCTTCAGGTCAAATATTATCTCTTTTAAAGTCTGCGGTAGGCCGTACGAGGGCGAAAGCTGACATTCGATCATTTTATGTTGGTGTAGAAAATATGTTCTAATGCTCAGAGTCTTAATAAAGTTCATTTTTGACATACTCACGTGGTCCAGTTGCAATATCGATTTTCCATTGCTCCTCGTTGTAATTACAGATGGTGATTTGCCGATTTGCTGAATGTAAGCCACCTTTCAGGTTCAGACCATGCATAAACTGTTTTAGCCCTAATCCGTTGGGGTTACAGAACTGGTGATGAAGGCTGTTTCCGATTATTCGATGGTTCTCAGTTCTGCATCCCGATATGAGAGTTCATATCTCCTATTAAAAATGTTAGTTTTTAGTCTGGAATGTTTTTCGATAAGATAGGGGAAATGGATGTAATGTCGGCCTAAATACCCCTAATTTGGGCCCATACATAAATTCAGCAATCGACTAAATTTTCAAAAGCTTCCAAAAATATCCATTAGTACCGTCCCAATGACGCGTTCATCTAGATAAAATTGATAAATAGCAGATTTTTAGCGAAGGGCCCAATCTTAGATCCATAGGCCAATATTAGAGCCATTTCCTCTACATTGATATTCTGACAAATTATCTGCTTTCTACCTGTGATTTTGATCTTATGTATATCGATATTAATATGACCTTTTTCAAAATATATCGCATAGATACGAACATGAGTTGTGGCTGATCTCCTTTGATATTGCGAGACTATTCAGAACATGTAAAATTGCAGCCACGAGTTGAATTGCCACAAAAATGATTCCTTTGCACATCGTTTTCTTAGAAAGAGAAAGCATAGTATGCTATCTTTCTTTACGCTTCACAGATGGCAGACACGAAGTTACTGCTGCCAGCAGTGATGGAAGTTTCGTTTCGTGTTCGGATGTACAGCAAAAATCTTGAAGCTCAAACTCAACACAGTTTGGTGAGAATTGTAGCCGGGGAGTTTTGTTAGCATGATATCATAGCAACCGTATCACAGCTTGTAACATCATCGGCTGTTGTTTGCTTGTTGAGTTTTTGGTTTACGATACTCAAATGAGATTATGCACATTGGTGAGATTAGATCTTTTGATATTTTCACAACACTGGTATTTGCTCATTTATCTATGCGTTACTTCCACCTTCGCTCGAGCGAAGCACTATACAGTATCTGTCGCTTGAATTCTAGCAGAGTTGCCAGTCTTCTTGATTTGATGTCTTCGATAAAACCCTACTACACAGGACTTTTATTATCCTATGAACACAAAACACAAAAACTTCGCTCACCCGCCACTTCCCGCGTCATCCTCAGTATGCTTGCGAACGAATACAATGAATTTGAGCATCATCTGCATCCTCAGATACATTGCGATTTCAAACCAAAAAATTCAAGGTGTCATAAATACCTGGTTACCGGGTTGCGTATTTTACAAATAATCACAGCTTGCTCTATGACCGGCACAATCGGCACACTTGCGGCATACTGACAAAAAAGATGACCCAAGATTGGTGTGCGGAGTGACCTACCCCTTTGGTACACCACTATTACTGGAACACCTACCCTATATAGTGTTGCTTGACATTTATCTACATTATTACATCTATTGAATACAAGTAGATGTACGTGTAATTGTAATTGTAATTGTTCAGTGTATACACGGTAAGAAAAAAACACTCAAAATTAAGTTAAAAAAACTCAACGTTGGGTTCTATCATTTGAGGTCCGCCGTTGAGTGAATCAGAAAAGCGGCGTTGGTTAAAATTTACTCAACTATTGAGTAATAATAAATGAACTCAAATATAAGTTTATTTTCATTGAGGTTGCTCTTATGCGCCTTTAACCATTTCATTTTCACAAGCGTTGATAGACGAGTGGTCAACACATGGGCCCCGTAATCTCAACGTCCATGGTTCGGTTCCAGTCTGCTCCGTTTTATTATTTTTTTGTCAACTTGGTCATCATGATCAGGATTACTCAAAATTGAGTTTTCTTCTTTAACTTAATTTTACCTAGCCCCACGGAAGCTACGTGATGAGTGAAAGGAACTCAATTTTGGGTACTTTTTTCTTACCGTGTAGGCTGTGTACAACTCACCTTTTGATTATAAATGTCGATAATGCTGAAACTATATGAATGTTAGTGATCATTATTAGGTGTGTGCTGCAATGAAGTAGTAATTGAAGGAAATAAGGTTCTCATGTGGCTTATAGGTAATTCTAAAATAGGTAAATCATGCAAGCACACACCTTTTACAATTCTTATCCTACTTACCAGTTCCGTCCAGTATAAATTGGCTGTTTCCAAATGGCCTAATCCTTTCTGACTGCTTACTCTCTTACGTTTTCTCGTTTTTTTCCTTCTTCCTATTGAAAATCTGGCCGTGTTCCCATTTGTTCTCAGGTAGGTGATATTGGTACATGAGGGGAAGAAAGAAATAAGCCCTGCGCTTCGGTCAGAGAGCATATAGGGCGTCGTTGTGCCAATTTGGTCGTGGCACATTTCGAGTATGAGAGAGTAATTGCAGTTAGATCAAAAGTGCCTGAGAAAAATGCAAATACTTTCGCAGATTACCCGAAGTTGCGATAGTGAAGGTATGATCACAGACAAACAGACATAACACTCTTAAAACCTTCATAGAAATCGTTTTTAACGGTCAATTTAAATGTTTCTTAGTTGGTAGTACCGCCACTTGTGGTGCATATAATCAATTCCCTAGCGTTTGACATTTACATACTACAACCATCTGTTGAGTGTATTGCCCATGAAAGTATATACGA